CCCCCCGACGGTTGCCTAGGCGATCCGAGCATCCTCCCCGCCCGCCGCTCCGTGAGTGGCCGAGCCGGTCTGGCGGCTGGGCCAATCGGAGTGCCGCTGAGGTCCCCGAGGGGGCGGCTTTTCCGCCGGACGTGGCGTTCCGGGCCCGGTTGCCAGGGCAACGGTGCGCTTGAGCGGGAGAAGCGGAGGCGCTGCTGTTGCTGCTGCGGGGCTGCCGGCCGAGATGGTGAGCGGCGGGAGCGGCCCCGGTTGCCCCTCCTCCTCCTCCTCCCTCCCTCCCTCCAACAACCCCGCGAGGTAGGCCGGCGTGGGCCGCCTCCTGCCTCCCCTCGCGGCTCCCTCTTGTGGCAGGGAGTTCCACCCTCTCCCCGGCCCCGGGTTGGGAAAGACCTGGAGGTTCCGGGGGGGGGTCAGAACCTGGGGCCGGGAGGGAGCCGTTCTCCTCCGGGCCAGCTTGGCCGGGGATCCTGGCTGGGGGAGGGGAAAACAGATCTCTGTAGTTTGGGGAACAATTGTCATCCTGGGAGATCTCCAGGGCCCACCTGGAGCCACCTTGGTGTAATGGTTAGGAGCGCGGACTCTAATCCGGGAGAACCGGGGTTGATTCCCCACTCCTCCTCCACGTGCAGCTGCTGGTGTGACCTTGGGTCAGTCACAAGGTCTCTCAGGGCTGTTCTCTCAAGGGCAGTTACTGTCAGAGCTCTCTCAGCCCCACCCGCCTCACAGGCAATGCTCCCTCTCAGCTGCGGCGTCTTGTGAGCAAAAATTCTGCTTTGTGAGCTCCTGGCATTAAAGTGGTGAGCGAGCGATTTGGCTGCTGCATCAATTAGTTTGCTCTGGAGCCCTCCTTCCTGAGCGAAGTCAAAAATGTGTGAGCCGCAGGCTAAAAAACTGTGAGCTAACCCACACTAACTCAGCGTAGAGGGAACATTGCTCACAGGGTGTCTGTTGTGGGGAGGGGGAGGGAAAGGAGATTGTGAGCCGCTCTGAGACTCCGAGGGAAGGGCCAGGGGAATAAATCCAATCCCTTCTCTTCCTCTTGGTCACCCTGCCATCAGTGGGGGTTGTGGGGGAGGGGCGGCAGGGGGAGGGAGTGTGGTGGCCAACTTGGGCTCTGGCTGGTAGGAAGTCTGGGGGCTCCCCCAGAGGCTGGCAGGCCAGCCCCCTGACTTCCCATCCAGCCCAAGGGCCCCCCAGCAGTGGTGTGGATGGAGGGAAGGAGCCGGTATTCCTTTAATTTGATTAGGCCTAAAAAACTTAAAAGCCCCCCCCCAAAAAAAGTCCTGGCTGCGGGCCTGCTGGCGGGGCTTCTGGGCGCACTCAGCCCCATGGCGGCTTCCCTGCAGGCACTGCCCCGCAAGGGCGGGCGGCCGCAGCTTACGCCGGCCCAGCAGCTGGAGCGCCGGCAGCATGAGGCCTACTTCCGGAGCCTGGCCGAGGAGGAGCACCAGAAGAGGGTGCAGCGCGTCCACCAGCTGGAGGTGATGTGGGAGGCCGAGGACCGCGTGGAGCGCAAGCGCGTCACCCGGATGCTGCAGGAGGAGGAGCATGAGCAGCGCATGGAAGAGGCCATCCAGAGGGTGAGTCGGGCAGTGAAGGCGCCTGGCAGGAAGTGCTGGGAGAAGGGCTTTGGAGGGGTTGGGCGGCCCCCTGGAACTCCGTGATTCCGTGTCAAAACAGCTTACACAGACTGAGCATAGGCAGGAACGGTGCGCCTTGTGTTATTAAGAACATAACATTTTCTGCGCTTTTTCCAAAGCTATAATATCCTTTTGGGGGCGTGGTGACCAGAACTGTACACAGTACTCCAGATGAGGTCACACCATTGTTTTATACAGGGGCATCGTGATAGTGGCTGATTTGTTTTCCATTCCCTTCCTAATAATCCCCAGCATAGCGTTGGCCTTCTTTATTGCAGTCACACACTGTCTCGACCTTTTCACTGAGTTATCTACTACGACTCCAAGATCTCTCTCGGTCAGTCTCTGCCCGTTCGGACCCCATCAGCGTGTATGTATAGTTAGGATTTTTGGCTGCAATGTGCATCACTTTGCACTTGGCCACACTGAACCCCATTTGCCACGTTGACGCCCACTCGCCCATCCTCAACAGATCCCTTTGGAGTGCCTCACAATCCTCCCTGCTTCTCAGCACCCTGAACAACTTTGTGTCGTGTGGCACGTCTTGTTCAATGTTTATGAGTCTCTTTGGGTCTCTTCTGACTCTTCATCAGGAGAAGTGTCAGTTCTCTTGACTCCTTAAATTCTGGAAGTTTTAACACTGCTGTGGAAACGGGCATCCTTTTAAAACTCACTGCTTAATTGCCGATACGTCGTTCTTGTCTCTTATGCTGCAAAACAGAGTTCTGACAAGGGCGAGGAGACCTCAGCCTGATGGTTCAGTTTGAATTCCAGCAGGTCATTTCTATTCCACAGACAGCCGGGCGAGGGCGGTGATTCTGGGACATTTTGCCCTGTTCCTTCAGAGGCCACACCCTGAACTGTCGAGCGAGTCCGGAATGTGTAGGGTAGATTTTCGATTCTTTTGCTCTGACGTTCTCGAGTACGATCCCGCTCTGTCGACTCCTGTCCTCTGGCCACAGGCAGAAGAGAATAAAAGGCTGCGAGAACTGGAGTTGCAACAGGAGGAAAAACTGGCTGCGGAGTTGGCACGGCTCAAGCACGAGAAGCTGAAGGATGAGAAAATGAGGCAGCAAATCAGAGAGACCAGGTGTTTCCCCCCGAGCTCTTCGGAAAGCCCTCTGGACACCGTTCCTGCGCTCTGAGCGATGTGGCTGGAACTTCTGCCTCTGGGAGTGGGGCCAGGGAGTGGGAGGGAGGGAGGGAGGGAGGGAGATGCCCCTTCAAGGGTGGGGGGGGGGAGTGGAGATCCCGTGGCCTCTCCTGTGGGGCCCGTGCCGGTCTGGTGGCCTTCCAGCCCAGCCTCAGGCCCTCCTGCAGGGGATCCCAGCCGCTGGGCCTTATGTCTCCTCGATAGCGGTGCGGAGAGGGTGTGCCTCATCTTCCCCACCCCTTTTTCCAGTATTGAACTCCGGGAGCTGGAGAGGAAGCTGAAATCCGCGTACATGAACAAAGAAAGGGCCGCCCAGATCGCAGAAAGAGAAGCTCTGAAATATGAGCAGATGGTAATTGGGGGGGGGGGTTGGATGTTGGGGACCAAGGGATCCTGCCCGGGGTCCTTTTGTCACGTGGACTTCTTTTGTTGGGTCACGGCACCTTCTTTGTGAACGTCAGGATTTCAAACAGAATCCATAGCTTCAGGAATCTGCCTTCTGCCGAATCTGTGGTCTGCTCAGACTGGCCGTGGCTCTCCAGGGGCTCAGGCGAAGGGGCGTCTCCCCCCCCCACACACACACACCACCCACTCCCCTGGGCCTTTGAACAGGAGATGCCGCCGGCAACTGACCCCGGGGACTTTCGGCATGCCCAGCAGGTGCTGTGCTCCACCTCTTTGGAAAGTGGTCTGGTGGGAGCCGCCACAGTTCACGCAGTCGTGTGTCACTAGTTAAGATATCCCTCTCCTGTTGTGTCGTCTGTGTCTGAACACTTGCCTTGTGATGCTGCTGGACTTAATGTCATTCTGGCCAGAGCGATGAGGCCCAATGCTGTGTGGAGCCAGAGGCCCATTTCTCGCGGGTCTCTGCAGCAGCCGTTCTTTCAGTTGGAGACTCCCTCCATTGTAGCTGGCTGCCCTGAGGGGCCCGGCCCCCTTCCCTGCTCTCTGGAGCGGCCAGCCTGTCCCTCGGCTTTCTGTGAATTCTGCCTCCCAGGCGATGTTCCCTCTAAGCTGTGGAGTCTTGTGAGCGAAAATCCTACTTTGTGAGCTGCTGGCATTCAAGTTGTGAGCGAGAGATTTGGCTGCTGCAGAAATTAGTTTGCCATGGAGCCCTTCTTCCTGAGCCAAGACAAAAACGTGTGAGCCGGAGGCTAAAAAACTGTGAACTAACTCACACTAACTCGGCTTAGAGGGAACACTGCTCGCAGGTGATGTTCCCTCACAGAATTCTGTGTGGCTGAGAGCGGGAGCCGTGCAGGCAGCTGTGATGAGCAGACGGTGCCGCAAACACACACACACACGCATGCATTCTGTGGGGTGGTGTTGGTGCCTCAGAGGCTTTGACATTGCCCTTTCTGAAGTCCTCACAGGCGGCCCCTGTGTGCGTGTGCCGCCTCTTTGAGTTCAGAGGTACGGATTAAGTGTCTCTCCCCCCCTCCCGGCCGCCTTCTTGTAATGGCAGAAGAGCGACGCGGAGCTGGCCAAGACCACGCGGGAAGCCCAGGAGCGGGCGGAGCAGGCGGAGGGCGCGGCGGAGACGAGGCGGAATCAGGAGCGCCTGCTGTATCAGCAAGAGCTGGAGAAGCAGCTGGAGGAGGGCGAGAGGCGGAAGCAGGCCGCCTACGAGGAGTTCCTCCGAGACAAGCTCCTGATCGATGAGATCGTGAGGAAGATCTACGAGGAGGACGAGAGGTTGGCTGCCCGGGGAGGGGCCCGCTGGTCTCGCTGCTCCAGTTGGCCCTCGCGGCGGTCTCAGCGGTCTTCTGGGGCGGGAGGAGAGAGTCTCCCAGGTCTGGTTCAGGCGCCGGCCCTCTGCCCCTCTGCCCCTGCCCTACTGCAGCCATCCCTGTTTTGGAGGGGGGGCTTCTGGGGGCCCCCAGTGCTTTTGTTACGGTAACATTCGACATAACAGTAGACATAACAGTAGACATAACAGTAAACAAGAGTGTTGCTGTGGAATTGGGACTATAATGATTCCAGTTTTGGTGTGTGTGTTTCTTTAAATGTGTAGTTTGACTGCAGTAATGTAAGGGAAGTGATGGAGACAAGTGTGATGTGATTGGTTGATGACTGAGAGTGTGGGAGGAGAAACGTCTATGAGGGGATGCTGTGGGGAGTTTGTGTGAGAGTCTGAATGACAGAGGAAGCATATAACCTGTGTAGCTGTATGAGCAAGAGAGTTCAGCCTGTGTGGCTATATGAGCAAGAGAGTTCAGCCTTTGTGGCTATATATGAGAGAGAGATAAGCCAGTCAGAGTTGAGTTTTGGTGTGTGAGAGACTGTGTGTGACGCCAAGCTTTGTCAGTTATATTTTCTTTCTTCAACAACAGTTAAAAAAATACCCAGAAACCTATTTTGTTCTTTTATAAAAGAAATCATTATTTGTTTAAACTTATCCCAGCAATCAGAACAGTACTTCCTCAGGGCCACATAGTCCTCTGAAGTGCCCAGACCCTAGGGTCATTCTACCAGCAGAGAGAGAGATTTGGAATTTTTAATTCCTGGTGGCAGCAGAAATCTATCAAGTTTAGGTACGCAGAGAGTGTTTTAAAGGTAAAACCGTCTCCCCAGTAAGCAAGGATGCCACAGGGACACGTGTGCTTTTGTCCAAAGCGTTCCTTGTTAAGCTCTGGGCTGTTGAAGCAGAATGTGACGTGGCTTTGGCTGTGTGAGTTTGCCCCCAAAGTCGCCCCAGGGGGAGGTTTGGGATGCCCTCCTGTGGATGCACCCAGCTGTCTGGAGCGGGACGCAGGGAGGGCATCCCTCCGTGCTCCTGTTTCCTCAAAGGCGGGGGGCAGCGGTGAGGCCTGGAGCTGGAGCCCCAGGAGAGAGGAGGGCAGCCAGGCGGCTGACCTAGGGAGCACGGCTGAAATGGGCGTCTCCGATGCCTCGTAGGGCCAGGCAGGAGAGGCTGGAGAAGAAGCGGATGACCCAGCGCTTCATCGAGGAGTTCAAAAAGGACCAGGCGCTGCGGCGACAGAGGCAGCGCGAAGAGGTGGAGGAGGAGAATCGGAAGATCTTGGCCTTTGCCGACATGTGGCAGCAGAGGGAGGACAAGCGGATGACTCAAGTCCACGAGAACGAGGAGCGGAAGCGGCAGCTCCAGCAAAGGGTAGGGGTGTGGCTCCGGCTGGGCCTGGGCTCCGGCCAGCCTTTGCCCGTGGGGCGGCCCTTGAAGTCTGCCTGCCTGCCTTCCTTCCCCTTGTAGATGGCCGAGCAGCTGGAGCGAGAACAGCGAGAGCGAGAGGAGCTGGAGGAGGTCCGTCAGGAGCTCTCTGTGGAGGAGCAGGCGGCCGCAGACCGGAAGAAGGAGCGGGTGAGGCCTCTCTGGCTCCCGGCCTGACTGGGGCGGGGTGGCTTCGTGTTCACTGGTGTCGAGCGTCCCGGGGCCCCAGGGCCTCCTCAGCCTGTTCCCTGGAGGGAGGGGCTGTGGCTCTCCTGTGCCGCAGGGTCGTGTCCTGCTGTGCAGGTGGTGAACTGTGGGTGGGTGGGCGTTTTTTTTTTCAGCCCCCCCCCCCCATGCACAGCTGACCTTCCTGCACGCCCTCCTTCCCCGAAGAGGCTGGGCTGATGAGTGGTGGGGTCCCGCAGAAAAGCTCTTCCACCCTCCCGGGGGCAGGGTGCTGGCAGGAGGAGGGGGGCTTCTTGCTTTCCACCCCCCCACCCCCGGGTAGCCCTGCCCCACAGCCGGAGCGCCCGCACAGGGGCAGGTGGACGAAGGCCTGTGAGGAGAGCCACAGGAACCCGCGGCTCTGGCCTCTTCCTTCCTCGTCTCCCGCAGGACGAGATGGAGAAGAAGATCCGGCAGCGCCTGGAGCTGCGGCACTCCTACGAGGAGCAGCTGGCCCTGCAGGAGGTGCTGCAGCAGGCGATGAGGGAGGAGGAGGCCGCCTTCCGCCAGGCCATGCTGGCCAAGTTTGCGGAGGACGACCGGATCGAGCAGATGAACGCCCAGAAGCGGCGGATGAGGCAGCTGGAGCACCAGAGGGCAGTGCAGCGGCTGATCGAGGAGCGGCGCAAACAGTTCTTGGCGGACAAGGTGAGTCCCCTCTGGCCCGGCGGCAGGCCGTGCTCGGGGGGGGGGGCGGGGTGAGAGAGAGAGAGTGGGGGGAATTGGGATGCTGCCCTTCTCCTCTGGCGGCCGCCTTTCCTTCGCCCACGAGATCCGTGCGAATGGGACAAAGGGAGAGTCCTTCCTTCCTTCCTTCCTTTGGGGCAGGAGCGTGAGCTGGAGGAGAGGCAGATGGAGGAGAGGAGGGCGGGCGCCGTGAAGGCCATCGTGGAGGAAGAGCGCCGCAAGCTGCTTCAGGAACACGCCGTCAAACTGCTGGGCTACCTCCCCCGGGTAAGTGGGATGCACTGAGCCCCCACCCCTCCGCCTCCCCCGCTTCCGATGGCTGCGCTGTGGGAAGGGCCCCGGTCCAGCCGCGTGGCACCGATCCACCCGGTCCCCCGGGGGTCTTGGGGCTCCAGGTCTTCAGTCCCGAGGGCAACAGCAGACAGCCACGACACCTGCCCCACGGCGGCGGTTCTCCCTGGAGACGGATCTGCTCTCGCACACAGAGGGCCCCTGCTTCCGATGGCTGCGCTGCGGGAAGGGCCCCGGTCCAGCTGCGTGGCACCGATCTGCCCGGTCCCCCAGGGGTCTTGGGGCTCCAGGTCTTCAGTCCTGAGCTGCACCTGCCCCACGGCGGCGGTTCTCCCTTGAGACGGATCTGCTCTCGCACACAGAGGGTGGCCGCGGTCCCTTTTGCAGACAAGGGTGCTGCAGCGCCACCTGCTGGCCCGGCCCAGCAAGGGCTTGGCCTCCCCTTCCTTCCACCCCAGCTCTGGGGGAGGAGCCCTCGTCCGCCGCCCTCCTCCTCCCGTGCACAGTTTCTGCCAGGCACAGGGCAGCAGCAGGCTCAGAAATGCTGGCTGGCCCTTGGCGAGGGGGCGGCAGCAGGCAGCTGGGAGGGGGGCCAGTCGGGCGAGCCGGCAGGTGGTTGGCAGAGCAGGGGGGAGATGGCCGAGCCCCTGGTGGAGGGAAGCCGTGGGACTTTGTGGCAGGCGAGGAGGGAGCGGTCCGAGTGGCTTCTCTGGGACTGGAAGGGATCCGGCCTGGTGCCGATTGGGGCGGGAGTTCTGGGGAAGCCCAGAGGGAGGACCTGCAGGCAGAGCAGAGGCGCCCCCCCCTCCAGCTTCACTGACTGCGCAGGGCCGGAGGACCCCCACCCCCCATTACCCTGCTGCTGTCAACCCAAACTCTGATGAAGTCTTTTTACCACATTCTCCATTAATGCCCCCGCCCCACTGAAGGCACACGCTCTTCTTGTCCTGTCCTGTTCCCCCCCCCCCCCCCCTTTTTGGCCCCCCCCTCTGGTGGGTTCTTTCTCTCCCCTCAATGCAGGCTGGCTCCCCGTCTGCCCCTCCTTGGGCTGGGTGGGGGAGAGGGGCTGAAGCACCCCCAGAGAGGGAGAGAGGTGGGATTCTCTCCTGCCCCAGGCGGCACATTCTCAGGAAGGAGACTGCAGCCAGCCGAGGATTGCACTGGCATCGCTAGATGGGCTGGGGAAACACACGAGGACTGTGTCTAGCTGGGGCTCCGCAGAGCTCGAGCGCCAGGGAAGGGTGTTTCCTGCTCCTCCTGAGCCCGGGGCCCCGTCTGCCTGCAAAGCAGAGGCTCTCAGCCCCCGAGCCCCCTTCCCAAGAGCTCGCTCTTCTCTGTCCCCTGAACGGTGTGTCCTTTGCCATCGTACCTGGAGAGGGGAGAGGAGGAGGCTGAGGGCCTGCGTCTCCACCACGGCCTTTAAGCGGTCCTTTGATGACGCAGGTGGCTTTTAAAAAATAAATCCTCTGGACACACTTTGGCAGCCCACAAGCAGGGGAGTGTCGTCTCCGGGTCACCAATGCTTCTCCCTCTCTCTCCCACGTGTGTGTGTGTGTGTGTCCAGGGAGTTCTTAAAGACGAGCAAGACGTAGACATGCTTGGAGAAGAGTTCAGGCAAGTTTATCAGAAGAGGAAAGATGAGGGGCTTGCGCAAGACTCCTGAGGTGACGCAGCTTCACGGTAGCCCCGGCAGGCCGCGCCGGAGTCCGGGCAGGTGTCTTTCTCCCACTGTTTCGCCTTTTTTGGGGGGTGGGGAGTTCATGCCCACTTGTACTTCATGCTCCCTTTGGAAAGCGACCTCTGGGTTTATCTCGACTTGACCAGCAGAGGTGCCTAGAAAGATGAGCTGGCCAGAGGTCAGCATTAAATATGCTTTCACTAAGTAGGCAAAGTGTTTGTGTCCCACTAAATGACAGAAAACGTGACTCTCAATTACCCTGCCAGGGAGGATGAGCAGGCTGGCTCGGAAGGGAAGAAGAGACTGGATGTATGCCCCACCCTTCCCTTGGAGTCTCAGAGCGGCTTACACTCTCCTTTCCCTCCCCCTCCCCACAACAGGCACCCCCTGGGAGGTAGGCAGGGCTGAGAGAGCTCATTCCAGAACTGCTTGGTGTCGTGGTTAAGTGCTCAGACTCTAAACTGGGAGAACCAGGTTGGATTCCCCACTCCTCCACTTGTAGCTGCTGGATGACCTTGGGCGCAAATCACAGTTCTGTCAGAGCTGTCCTTGAAAAAGAGCCATTTCTGTCAGAGCTCTCTCAGCCCCACCTACCCCACAGGGTGTCTGTTGTGGGGAGGGGAAGGAGTTTGTAAGCCGCTCTGAGACACCTTTGGGTAGTGAAGGGCAGGATATGAATCCAATATCATCTTCTTTCAAGGACAGCTCTGAGAGAACTATGGCTTGCCCAAGATCATCCAGCCAGGTGCAAGTGGAGGAGTGCGGAATCAAACCCGGTTCTCCCAGATTAGGGTCCGCGCACTTAACCACTGCACCAGACTGGGAAGATCTCTTCTCTTGTTGTCCGCTGGAAGGGGCTCTAGAGCGAAGTAGAGGACAGGAGGGAGGGGGTGGCACCCTCTGACAGCCAGTGGGACAGCTGGAACTCGCACAGCAACCCTAAATAGTTTTGGCGGCTACTGTTAAATTCCCGTCACTCTAAGAAGGCAGGAAAGGCCCTGCTGAGGGCTCAACTGCTGCCTGCTGAGGGCTCAAGGAAAGGAAGAAAGATGCTGCCAACAAACCCGCTTTTCTAGAAAACTGAACATTTAATGGATACACACACCCCGTCTGTGCTTTTGGAGTCAGGAATTTCCCCATTCGAGGGCTTTCATGAACTCCTCTTCAGTGAACGAGAGCATCTTTGCAGCTTCGATGTGCATCTAGGAAAAAGAAAAGAGTTTAACACGGTTTTTCATTCCTTGGGGGACTTCAGACTATGCAACCATTAGACGAAGAGAAAGTCCCCCTCTCACCTGTCCTTAGAAAGCTGGCTGTAGGCAAGAAGGGAGTGGAAGGAAGGGAGTGGAAGTCCTCACTTATTCCCTTGCTGCAGTGCGAGACTAGTTCTGCCTCTCTCTCTCTCACACACACACACACACCCCCCAAGCCTCTCTTCAGGTCACAAACACAGGCCCCCACCATCAGTTTGGCCGTCTGGCTTCAGGTGGCACAGCTGCTGTGCAAAACGGAGGGGGATCTGTTCAGGGTGTGTTTCCCCAAGTAGGCTTTGCCAAGCAAGGGCGCCTGGTCTGCTGGGAACTCCTCTACCGTGTAGGGTTCTACGGGGAACTGGGTTTTGCCGCTCCTGAGAGCGCTCTGGCTTAGTTTGCCTCCTGAAGGGGTTTCTCTGGAAAGCCTCGTGGTCCCTTCTGTATTACTCCAAACCGAAAATCACACCAATACTTGAATGTCCTAATATGGCAGAGGAGGCGTCGGAAGAGAAAGGATGTCCCCCTCAAGCGGGGGGGGGGGCATAGCTGCAGAGGGGGGTGAGCACAGAAAGCCACTCTCTGCTAAATCAGCCCCCCCCCCCCCCCCGGTCCATCAGCGTCAGTCCTGTCTACGCGGGCTGGCCGTGGCTCTCCAGAGTCCCAGGGGGAGCTCCCTCCCAACCTCTCCTCCCCGATCCTTTTAGCTGGAGACGGTGGGGGCTGAACCAGGGACCTTCTGCATGCCCAGCAGGTGCCCCTCCACGGAACCACTCCCGTGGGACCACCAAGACTAACAGAAAGGGATCCAGGCTGGGAGGGGAGCCCATTTGCGGGGCCAGTCTCCCTCCCATCTGTGTGGAACAGGCCTCGTCTTCCTAATGGGGTCAGTTCAGGGCGGCCATTGGGGGACCGTGGGAGGTGGAACAACCCCCCCCCTTAAGGGAGATGAAGACCGACCTCCAGCCGCTGAGGGGGACTTGCCTTTTGCCTCTTTAAAACGTCGATTAATTTCAGCTGTTTCGTGAAAGCTGACATCAGGTCTCCTTTCTGCTTCTCTAGTTTCTTCTTGTCCACTGTCAGTTCTTCAAGCTTTTTGTGCTGCTGGTTGACTAGATCCTAGCGGAGAAGGAAAGGGTACAACCGGCCTTGAAGGCACGAGCGCCCTCGCCTCTTTGTAAGCGGCTGGGGCCAGGCGGCCGGAAGGCTTTTTACGCCCTTTACGGCCAGCGGAAGGAGTGGCTCGTCCTCTGCAGGTGACCAACTGCAGTATATTTTCCCAGCCCGGAAAGGGAGGGGGCTGTCTCTCAGGCATGCCTCAGAGGGGCTTCCGGGGAGGGTGCCTGGTCCCCTGCCAACTGGAGCTTCACCTGCAGACGGTCCAGGTTCCCATCTGAACTCCGTGGCTGGCGGGCACGGGGCAAGAATGGCAGACCCTCCCCCAGGGCTCCAGTCTCTGCCCAGCCCTCTCTTCACCTGCTCACTCCACTCACTCTGCGGTCGCCTGCCTGCCTGCCTGCCTGCCTGCCTCCTGAGGAATGTCCAGAGGAAAAACAGAGGTGGGGAGCCCCATGTACAGCTGCCCCCCCCCCGAGATCCCTGGAGGAAGGCCAGAGAGGCCACAGCTGGGTCTGTCCGGAGGCCCCGCAGCAGCGTACCTTGTTGCTCTGTTTCACCTGTGTGGTCTCCCGTTTGGCCCGCTCCGCTTCCTCCAGGGCTCGGTTCAGGCGCACTTCCATGGTGCTCTGGCCGGCCGAGGCCTGCTTCTGGGCCCGCCTGAGCGTCTCCAGCTCCTGTGCCGTGGGCCGGGCGGAGAGAGAGGAGAGCTGAGGCAGCCATGCTCCAGCAGCGAGAGACAAGGTGGCCGCCGCAGACCTCCTGGCTTGCCACAGAGCCCACGAGCAGGGCAGAGGCCAAGGAGCCCGCCCCACACCCTCCAGGGGGCCGCTTTGCCCCTGTCCCTAGAGTGGCCGAGCCAAGCACCCCACGGGGGCCGGGGGGGGGCGGGCTCACCTTCTCCAGGCCTGAGAGCCGCTGTTGCAGCCCTTCCGCCCTCCGGCTGGCCTCCTCCGCCAGGAGCTTGTACTTCTCCAGCTGAGCCTGCTGGGCACCGGCCGCTCGCTGCAGCCTCCCCTGAGCCTCTTCCGCCTCCTTCAGCTGGCGGCTGAAATCCCGGCTCTCCTCATCCTGCAGCCCGGCAGGGAGGGTGGGAAGTGGGGGGGGGGGGGGG